ATTAACCGAAGAAAATAATGTACGAAAAAAAGTCCGAGTCTTCTTGGACAAAACCAAACGTTGGTGACTTAGTGGGGAGGGGGGTTCAAACTAGGACAACTGTCGGACAAAAGCGTATCACGTGAACGAAGTCGCGTTTCGGATCACTTGCCGTCCTCATGTATATACTGCACCGACGGAGGAGCGGACACAAATGAGAAGATTCCCAGTGTAGTTCATGTTCCGAGTAAACAGCTACAGCGTCTCTCGGGACTTAGCGACGATAAAAATAAAATAACCCCTCCTAGCCTGTCTCCCTCCCCTCCCCCGCGAAAGTGGTCGTTTGTGAGTCGTTTCTTCGCCGTAACGGATCTCGTGAGCAGCATACTATATCCAGAGAAACTCGGTAACGCAAATTCGAATTTTTTTACCTGGTCACGAACGAGCCCAAAGAAAAAAACCATTCAACCACTTTTAAAAGGGTACGCTGCAACGATATTCGGACGCACTAAAAAATAAGTTCCTCGATCGTTGAACATCGTATATTATAAAACGAAACTTCGACATAAATTATTCTGGTTAGGTTAATAATTGATTCTGTTTCAAATCAATATAACTTTATATCAAGACATAACACGATAACAATTAATATAATAATAAGTAAGTATCCACAATAGCTAAATAGTATAGGTAAAGTTGAACAATATTATATAGTTTATTGTTGAAAAATGTATAATTCAAAAATATCAAGACAATCAATTTCCAATTTTAGTGACAAAATGTTTTAAGTACTTAAAAAAACACATACACGTCTGAACAGACAGTTCTAATACCTTATCAAATGTACGAAAATGTTCACCAAAAGTGTAAAACGCGTTTTTTATATCTCATGATATTTGTATTGCATATAAATTACATTTTTGCTGTAATTATTAATACAATAAAATATAATAAATTACATTACTACGGACTTAGGAAAGGTTTCATAGAAAAATATCGTTTTTTACGTCGCTAGAGATGAGAAGTAGAAATCATTTGTTGTCTTTGTAAATCCGACGAAATAATAAACAAAAATTTGATTCGATTGTGGTTTTCTCGTGACTCGTATTTACTTCTGAGAGTCAATACGCGTACTATAAGTGCAATTACTTGTCTAAATCGAATTTTTTATACATTTAGGAACGGAAACACGTATTTTTTTTATTAACTATATAGGTACGGGTAGTACGATCTTAATAGAAGTTGTTAGATTCATGAATAAACAATGAAATCCGTCAAAATATTATTATTAATTATTATGTACATATAAATATGGGGTTACATAATAGGAGCAACGATTTATCTAATTACGGAGAGAACATACAGTTATATAATTTCTCACAATTACATAATTTATAGGTAGGTTAGGTAGATAGGTAGGTACCATTTATAATTAGTAATGAAATATCACTGTAAAGTTGTGTGTGCATAAAAGGAACGAAATTAAATTCCAGAGATAAGCTTAAGTACAAAATTTGCTTACTATAACATGTGTGAATACATAATTTATCTCAATGTAATTTTGTGCCAACATTTTAATGTAAGTACCTATTTATAATTATTATCCTTAAATACCTTTTTTTTTCCTAGTTAATCGAGGGACGGAGGACGAACCGCGTTAGCATTACTTCTCCTATATCCTTAAATACCTTTAGGCACTAATAGCCTCTCGGTTTGAAATTTTTAAAATTTTTTGTTTTGTGTAGTATGGTGTCACTATCTAGAGCTTACGATTTATGAGAATATTATGCATCGATATAAACCCTCATATTGTTTATCGACAATATTACTAGGGGTGTGGAAAAGTCACTACCTACAATGGTATTTGATAAGTATCTATACCGTAGTTTCCAGATAATAATTCCGTCGGTTAAAATCAATGTCCTACTGAATATTAAATTGGATTTAAACATCAATTGTATAATATATACCTATCTATACACCTATACGTTTATGTTTGTTATTAAATAATAAAGGAATTAATTTATTCATATAAAATCATTTGAGTAACTTCTTATAATATCTAACAACTAATAAGGGTTAATCGTGTATTCATGTGTCGTGATAACAGCCTGGTGGAGAAATAAGTGTACGATGTTCTACGAGACAGTTTTTTTATAAACCGTTGATATTAACTTATTTTTAATATTAATGATTCAATCTTCTTCTTCTTCAGCTTATCGGCCCATTAAGTGCCATCGCTGCCATCACCAAACCTCTCCATTTCTCTCTATCGTATGCGTCGTCAAAAGATGACGCTTCCTCTATGCTTTTTATATCTTGAGCTATAACGTCCACCCATCGGGTCCTTGGTCTTCCTAATGGACGTTTTTTATTTATTGTGTTAATTAAAACTTCTTTTATTACTTGTCCATCCGCTCTCCAAACATGACCGAACCATTCCAGACGCTTGCTTCTTATATATGCAATAATATTTGGCCTGTTATATAACTCCTGTAGTTCTTGATTATTCCTTCTTTCATAAGTTTGCGATTCTGCATCGAATTTCGGGCCGTATATATTTCTCAGTACTTTTCTTTCGAAGGTCATTAGCCGTTTGCTGTCTCCTTTGGTCAGTGACCATGTTTCACTCGCGTATGTGATTATTGGTCTTAGATAGCTATGATACAGTAGTGTCTTTGAATTACGTGACAGTAGTTTTGATTTAAGGAGTCTCATTATGCTATAGTAGCATCGATTGCCACATGCTATTCGATCATTGATTTCTTCATGCATGTCGTTGTTGCTATTTATGTTAACACCTAGGTACTTAAATACCTCCACTTTCTTGAAACTATAATCATCTACTGTTATGTGGTCTGTGTTTGGGCTTCTTCTTGCTACCATTAAGTATTTCGTCTTTTCCTCATTTACACGCAGCCCTATGGTTTTACTTGCTTTCAAGAGTTTGGACGCAGTATTCATGACTTCGTCTCTAGTTTCTCCCATTACCACAATGTCATCTGCGTATGCCAATATTACTCGTTCCCCACATATTTCCATCTTTCGACCGTCCCATACTTCTCTCATTGCTTTTTCTAATGCTAGATTAAACAAGGTGGGTGATAGAGCATCACCTTGTCTAAGGCCTGATTTTACCTCAAAAGTTTCAGACATTTCTTGAAGGAAACGGACTCTGCACACAGTTCTGTTGTTACACCCTTTTATAAGGCTTACGTACTTTTTAGGAATGCCTAGAACTTCCAGTGCTTCCCATAGTTTGTCCCTATTAATGCTATCATAAGCTTGCTTATAATCTATAAATATAAGGTGCAGTTCTTTATCAAATTCATAGAACTTAGCCATTATCTGTCTCAGTGTAAAAATATGGTCCAATGTCGATTTACCTTTTCTAAAGCCGCTTTGATACTCCCCGACTATTTCGTTAACATATGGGTTAATCCTTTCTAATATTAATGACGTATACACTTTGTAACACGTGTCTAAGAGAGATATACCTCTGTAGTTCTTTGTCTTGGTCGGGTCCCCCTTTTTTATTATAGGACATATTACTGCAGTATTCCAGTCCTCTGGGAGGGTTTCTTTATCCCATATAATTGAGATCATTTCCATAATTTCTCTTCTTATTTCAGTACCACCTTTTTTCAGTAGCTCAGCCACTATATTGTTTTCCCCAGGTGCTCTATTGTTCTTAAGCTTATTAATTATATTGTCGATTTCTTCTCGTTCTGGTTTTTCTATCATTGGTTCTGCTGTATGGTAATAGATCGTTTCGTTGCCTTCCTCTACTACTGGTTGATTTAAGAGCTGATTAAAGTATTCTTTGACAACATGTTGAAAACATTCTAAGGCAACATTAATGATTCAATGCTGTAAGAATTTGGTATCCTTATCTCCAGATTTCATGGTCTGTACTCTGTACCTTATATCATGTCGTAGAAATAGAGCGTGTTAACTCTTTGAGGGGCAAAAATTTCATTTAGAAAAAAGACCCATGTGGGCAATATGTCTCTTTACCATAACATTTAGTACATATATCAAAATATTGATAATGATAATAAATGATGAAAAACGCGAGAAATGATATCAGACCAGCGGCAGTGATATTGTTTGATGCATGTATAAGATGATAATAAGGTGATTGGTATGCTGACCATCATCAAACAAATATTAAAAATAATTTTAAAAGTGGTTAAAATAGTAACCACCGCACCTGAACGGTAAAAAAAAAAGTGGTTAGCATACTAACCACGGCCCCTCAAAGAGTTAAGTGAAAATAACATTACATTTTACAATTTGTTCTAAATCAATGCAGGCCATTAAACAAAATATAATAAATATTAATTCACACTATAAAAACTTTTGGAATGTTCAAAAAATCAAATTATTCAATCATAAATTACAAATCATCATTACCCTATTTACACTCACAGTTGAGGGTACTGGTAAAATAACCAGAATTAATATCCTTTTTTCTTTTAAAATTTAGGAGACACAGAAACCTTTCTAAAACATTTGTTAATGAACCAAAAATGAAAAACGTAGTACCTATCATTATTTTTGTAAGAATAAGATATATAAATTCAAACCATTTCCTGTGGTACCCCTTTTATATTCATGATAATAGTTTTAGAACAATGCAGTTTTTATCACATTTTAGATTCTGAGTGGAGCGATGAATGCATTGATTTTACAATGATGTATTTTCACTTTTATTTTGGTGTCTGAAGACAATTCTTATAGTGCAGAAACCACATCTAAAATATATTAAAGATTTAATTAGTTATTGATGACTGATGAGGTACACTCAAAAACCTACTGTATAGCAGAGCGGTACCAATATTTTCCCTCTTTTTTAATATATTATTATTCAATATTGTTAGAAGGATTCGTTTCTCTGGTTTTTGTATTTGTTTATTATCAAACACGGACTTATGTCTTATACATTTACACGTGTTATTATTGTTACTCGTTTTGTGTAATGTTTTGCGTCATTGTGTTAGTTTTGAGATAATGAGATCATGATGTTAAAAATTTTACAATCACATTTTTTTAGAAAAACTATAGTTGGAATGAATTCACGTTGCTTATGGCAATGGATTGATGACACATTCAACCGGTATAAGTGCTTTTACAATAATTAAATGACAAGGATTAAAGTGCATAATAGCTTTATTTTATTGTTACTTTATATGAAAAAAAGTTTGGATGATGATCGTATCAAGGAAATTGGCCCTAACTTGGCATGTGCCGAATGGCTCATGAAAAATGGGGCACAAGTCAGATGGAAAGGTTGTAAGGAATATGTCCGACATTATGATTACTTGCCCAATACAACACCAGTTCACCGTGAACAATTTCTAATACAGCAAGTTTACGCTGGGAAAGAAGCTTCAATCTCACATTTAGGGTTTAGTTATTTTAGTACGTTTCTCGATATGTGTAATAAATTATGACAGCATTTATTTTTGGATGGTATTAATAACTTATAAAATGTTAATTTTACAGAAAACTGTAAACATATTTCTGAAGTGGAATTTGATGGATGTAACTCAATTAATAATAAAGCATTAATTGAACTTAATATATTGAAAGGTTACTTGACAAGCTTGAAAATTAATAACTGTGCAAATGTTTCTGACCAAGGAATAATATCATTGAAACATCTTCAGTAGGGATACAATAATTTGTTTAATACAATTTACATTGATTAATAGTTTGAATTTACAGGGAATTAAAACATTTGGAGTTGAAAAATATAAAATTTTTAAGCGACCCTGAAAAAACGATTGACTTTCTGAGAACAAAGTTGCCAGAATGCAACATAGAATACCATAATAAATGATGATGATAAAATTCTGTGTTCATATCAGTAATATATAATCATTAGGATAACATTTACACAGTCATTAGTTTTAAAAATTTTCAAGTAATTTTTTAAGTTTAATTAATGCTTCATTCATTGGTTACATCCAGTAAATTCCATTTTAGAAATATTACAGGTAGTGAGAAACCTACTAAAATAACTGAATTAAATATCATGTGAGGTCTAAGCTTGTGTTCCAGCATAAACTTGCTCTATTAGAAACTATCCAAATTGGATTGATACGATTTTGGGCAATTAATAATACTGTCCATATCCCTTGCAACATTTTCATCTGAATTGTGCCCCACTTGTCATGATCCATTCGCCACATGTCAAGTTAGATCCAATTTGTCCGATTTGAAACTGTTAGAGCCTGGAGGTGACATTGGGTTATATTAGGTAAGCAATACTAATGGCTGATGAATTCGTTACAACTCTTCCATCTAACCTATGTGCCATTTTTTATTAACTATTCAGTATAGTAAGGCTAATAGATATAAATAGGATGGATCAATATTAGAAACCAGTACATTTTTTCGCATCAGCTATATCTACTAGCCCTAAATTAACATGCCACTGGATAGCTTTTGAAAAACGGTACACAGGTTAGAAGGAAAAGTTGCAGAAAATCGTCAGCCATTCAATTGGTTACTTAATATAATATAATTTCACCACCATTCACCAGCAGTTTCTGATCTAACAAGTGTATGCTGGAAAAGATGCTGCTAAATGATTTAAATAAATAAATAAATAATACTGCCAATGTTGACTGTTTTTAATTTTTATATATTTTTTTATAATTTTTATGATTTAAATGTGTTAAACTATTTAGATTACTAATTATTACAATTATTTTTATATGTTATCAAAAATAAAAAACAAGTTGTAAAAATTATTTTATTTATTTTACTACTTATACAAAAATACAATGAAATATGTACCTACTGCATGTGTCTATGGCCTATTTAATTTGTTAATGTACAGTGTTTTTTTTTTTTTTTAAGGACACGGCGAACCACATATGGGTTTAACAATTAAACCATTAAAATAATTAAATTGGGGTTTATTGATAATGATAGACATTATCTCAACATCATATTATGATAAACATATAAAATATATATATATTAAATATCAAATAAATCAATCAATATTATTTTAAGTTGAAATGCTACAACGATTTCCTTCTTTATAATTAAATACCATTCTAAAACATTGGGTCTTCTTTCTTTATTTAAATTTAAATATTTTTTTCCTTTGACTATCTATAATTTTTTTTATATCAATCATGATTTATGTTCTATGTAAACCAAACGTTCTAATCAACCGAGTTTTTACTTCCAAACAAATGTGCACATATTATTATACTCTACCTTTACTATAATGTATAATATAATAATATAATAATATAATATAACTAGGCATAAAACTATTTTTTTTATAGAGAAATCAGTAAATCATAAAAGTTTTTTACACATTTTATGTAGCTCGACTTATAAGTTACAATCAATTATTATAGTTTTACTTGGATTCATACATATATGTACCTATATAAAATGATTAAAGTCCAATTTACATGCACATAATAATATGTTGTATAACGAACTTCATGTTCAAGTCTCTAAGTTCAAGCTGTTCGACAGTACATAAAAATAAAACAAACGATAATCCTAAAATTATTTCGAACGAATATTTTTAGTTTGATTACTTTTGTTAGTAGGTACATTGTTTTCATCAATAATTATATAGTAATTAATCTACTTATAATAAAAAAGCTAATAAGTGTGAGTAGAATTTTAATCATCCATAGCTCTTCACCTAGACTTTAGTGTACGTAAAAGTGTTGTATTATTATTTAAAATTTAAATACATTTCAGATAAATCATATCATTTGAAAGCTCTTCAGAGTGATGGTACTCAAGATTGGTCTTGACTCACATTTAAAGGTATTTTCGAAGTATCTTGAATGAGTTTTTTTAACAAACGTTGAAATCGAAAAATTATCTCTCTACAGTATCATATTTTGTATTCAATTTCCAATCGACTGATTAGAGTACACGAACAAATAAATTATACTGCCTCAGAATGTGTTTTTCGAAAAATAAACAAGGACATATTATTTGCATCCTATAAAACATAAATATGCCCCATATACTTTAAAATATAATACAATATATTATCGTTTGTTTTACCGACATGGATGATCAAATATAATAACTGATATTAATAGATCAATTTTAATAATTTTATATAAATTTATTATAGTGGTGGATTATATTATATCATTGGATATCATCGCGATTCCATTCTTTCCTTTGTTGTATGAATATCTGACTGACGACCGACCACCGACGTCATTGTTTTGGGATGTAAGCCGCCTAGGAAGAGGTGTTTAATTAAGTGTCAATTAGAAGCGTCCGTTTCCTGGTTCCCGTTCAGTGCCTTAGTATTTTATAGTGCTTGTTCAGAAGGAATTGTAAAGGGAAAAGGTTTAGTTTGCTGGATTATTGATAAACTGCTCCATCGGTGAGCGACGAGTGTTTATAATAAATTGCACTAGTCGGCCTTAATTATTAAACGTCAACGACGCGTATGTACAATATGAGACTGTATTATGCAGCCTATATAATATAACTAGCTAATTAAAACTGAATACCTAGTTATCTACCGTTATCTATCTCAGAGACCGATACAAAATCAATCGAATAAAATAAAATTGTTTGATTTATCAATTTACGTAATATTTTCGTTTCATTATAAACCGTATAGTATAATATTTAAATTTAAATAATACACAAATATGCATAAAATAATATTATACTGCAGTTAAATGTAAACACATGACAAATTATAATTATGGAATGAATTTGTGATGAAGAAAATTTACATTATGTTTGGCGGAGTAACATTGTAGATTATTCGACTATGTGAAAAGTGCACCTACATTAACCGTGATAGTAAGTAGGTAAGTCAAAAAAAAAAACGCTTACAAAAGTGTCATAATAATAATAATAATGTGACGTTATTAGGGTCATTCTTTTGAAAATATGACGAAAAACGTATAACAATAAACTGTATTGTTACTTTTATATTGTTATAAGGCATAAAACCTCGTCGTACCTTTTATACATATTATATTGGCCTACGGATATCAGTATATATTAAAAGAATGACAAAAAAAAATTTTCCATTAATAAACATTTTCAGTCGTCGAGAGGTTAGATTACATCTTTGTCGGCGGTACGAGAAAAAATCGTCCAGTGTGGCGAGACTTCCGTTATTCGGAGGTGTTTATATAAATAAAGATTTTTCAGTATATTATAATATACCAGCTATATATATATATATATTTATTATATTATAAATATTATGTGTATAGGCATAGTGCACGTAGTTTTTGTATTGTTGTGGAATATTATATGAAATGAAGTCATTTTTCCTTACAAAGGTTGATAAAAATTTAAGTAAATAAATATATTATGTGAGAATGATCTAACATTACAGATAAGTAGGTGCACAATGCACATTCACGTACGCGTCGTTAAATATGATTGTAAAGAGCCATTCACCTCCATAAATATAGGCCCATTTTATCTGCAATGTTTACAGGTCGTATTTTCCGTCCTGAATCATAAACTTTATCTTAATATTTTTGAGTATTAGAGTAACAAATTATTATATCAACATTTTATATCCCCATCGTTATTCACCTAGTACATTATTATTATATGATATATTTATATATGTATGTATTAATTTTCATTACTTCTTTAATGCACTGAAGTTTATTGCAAATATTTGACGAAATGCCATAATATCTAATATTATATGTTCCTATAACGGTCAAATATTCTGAGTAAATAAATAAATTATTACTAGGGTATTGGATTAGTTTTTTAACGACCAAACAGTTTGACGTGTCCGAATTTATTACGATTATTTTTGAAAGGTTTTAAGTATATAATATCGTAATGTCGATAAAGGATATCGTTAGTTGCTTCCTTTCGTTGAATAGATATGGGCGTATATTGTACACTGTATACCTACGTATGTAATTAAAAATACTTGTGAATATTGTTCAACATATTTAATTTCTGAAAAAACCTGAACCTAATATGTCATAAAATTAAAATACCTAAATTTGAGATTAACGATTATATTATTAGGTATATTAAATAACCTATTGGCTATTATATTATTATGAATCATTCAATTACTATAAAACTTGAACAAAAGTAGACACTAATTTATTGAGACCTAGGTTGATACAAAAGATACATTTATCAAATTATATCAATAACTCTTACGCCGACGAGCAATACTCGCACATAAATCTTGTATACTATTTAATCATATATTTGTTGTCACTAATAATTATAGAAAATTAGAACACATTTTTCCCAATATATATGTATATTATATAGGCACCTACGTAATATTTTAATTGTTAATATTATATATAAATATATAATATACTATATACTTAGATGAACACCCAATTACCAAACTTGAAATAACATGTTACTCGTTGACACATTTCAAATACCTATATTAATTATTGGTATGATATTATTACCGTATCGACACTTCAGATGTATTTCATAAATTATATGTAATAGTATAAATTATGGTCTAACATGCATTATTAAGCATTATTTTGTACAAAATATAAAAATAATACAACATGCACATAGGCGAAGTTCATTTTATTTTTTATTTTTTGACAGTTTTTATCCCGGGGCTTCTCCGAAAAAAATAGATTACTTTCAAATTGCTTACAAATCATACATCAACTGATGAAAACACTAGTAGCAACTATATCGGTGGTTACTGGCGCTGAGTACAGTCCGAAAACGATTTGTTTCGAAGGTCCCACAGTGTTCGATGGTCTAAGGACCTTGTAATATATATTATTATGTGTTCAAAAATATTGAATGACTTTATTTCGATGGTTATACGATATTATGGTAATTTATTAT